ATCATTTTCAGCATCGAGCACATTTATCTTTATACATTTTGATTTTAAATGGTTTCTCCAATTACAGTTTTTGCATCTCTGTGCCCATGCCGGACATTCCTTCATTTTCATTGGGTATTTTTGTTTACAGAATTTACAGCTTTTGATAGATGGTTTCTGTTTTGCATTGTTTTTTTCTAAATTTGGAAGGTGTTGTTGGTAGTGTAGGGTTCTCTGTAGCTGTATGTTGTTTTGCATTTATCTTATGTACCTTACTGTCTTTGTTATCTCTCATTTCTTGCACATGTTTATTCGCTTGCTCATATGATTGACAGATTTTTAAAGCTTTATTCAAGTCAAGTCAATCATCTCTGAGTAAAAGTTGTTGTACTTTACCTGAAGTACTGAACACAAGTTTTGTCCCTGTTCATGCGATCCTCTTTGTCGCTAAAATTACAAGCTTTAGCACGCACCCGTAGTTCTGTGACAAAGTGATCATAGGCTCAGAGTATTTAATTGATCAAATTTATGACTCTCTGGTATCTAATTCTTTCTTGGGTTACAGTGCTCTTCAGTTTTCTCAAAGACTTTTCCAGGGTCGTCTTTATCCTCTGCATTTGTCCGGGAGAAATTGACATCGAATTTTAGTAGATTTTCACCACCACAATTTATTAAGTGTAGCAGTTTGTATTTCTTTCTCGAAAGTTGTGTAGTGCCACCTGCTCGTAAATAAATTTCTACTTGCCTTTTCCATGTCTTGAAGTTTTCAGAGACATGGCCTGAAAAGAGATTTAATTCAGGTGGAAGACGTAAGTAAGTATTCATTGATACAGTACCCGCATCGTTATTCTTTACAATTCTATCGTGTCCTATCGTGCGTTTATCCTATCGTATCGTGCGTGTATCCTATCGTATCGTGAGTGCATCCTATCGTATCCTATCGTATCGTGTTTTCCGTTTATCAGGTTTTGCGTTTTCTATGGTGTTTTCCGTTTATCAGGTTTTGCGTTTATCGTGAAGATCGTTTATCAGGTTCTATCGTGTATCGTGTTTTGCGTTTATCGTGTGCATTCGGAAACCCTCGCTTTTTATCTTTACCTTGAGAAGAAACACCCGAGGTATCCCGAGTTCATTTTTCGTTTTGTTAATTTATTTAGGATTAATTTAACTGTTGAACAGAATCACAAATTAATACTCTAACTCTGGTAGATTTGTTTAAGAAAATAAATACATAAATAAAATAAATAAATAAATAAATAAACGTCAAGTACCGTGACCAAGCAGAGAGTGTAAATCGAAAGCCAAATTCTATTTTTGGCCATGAAATAATCCATCTACTAGTCATTCGTTATTTTTTTTCTTTACTTTGTCGATTTGTAAGAAACATTTTTTGTCAAAGATAGAAATATTATACTTCCTTTACACAGAGTCACAAAAGCAAGACATTTATTAACTTTGCTTTGATAATTATAGAAACATAAAGCAGTAGATATGTGTGTAAAAATTAACTTTAAATAAAAAAAAATAGCAGCATCATTATTACATGTAAGTCAATCCTTTCTATGAATAACGGAAACATAAATTTTGTCTATGCGCGCAAGTTTTGTTGTTCCTTTTTATTTATTTGTTTCTCTGATGTGTCAACAAGTTAAATTACAGTTTATTTTACATGAAAATGCTCCATTCAATTCATCATATGATAATTATATATTTTAATATAGATGTTTGCCATTCATATTTGACTACTGCATTTAGAAGATGTAAAAACAGAAAATAAATTTAAAAAAATAAACAAAATCATACTAATTTTTATTATACAACTTACCTATTTCGATGTGAAAATGAAATGAGTATACATGTATATACCGTAATTAAGTGACAGGTGGAAGCGCTTCCGTGACAAGAGAACTGACACCTAAACGTACCTGCCTAATCAGTACACTGTCTTCTTGTCAGGTCAAGAATCCACCACCCCCCCCCCCTTTCCCCCTACATGACCGGCCCTTGTGTATTCAACGTAGACATACCTGAACTCCTCTCTCACCTGGTGTCAGGTATTTACCTTGAATCCTACTAGGTTTCAATGAAATGCATCTTCTTATTTTCTGGATATCGTTTGAACAACACTTAATTAATAATTAAAGATTTTATACTAAGAAAATTGGTAAATGTACACTTCCGTTACCGATTAAAAATTTAATAAATGAATCAAATAAAATATAGGCGAGTTTTGTCCCCCAAACTCCGGATATATCGATCCGTTAATTTAGTTCATTTGTATACTTTTATATAATTTTTATAGGTTTACAGTATTAAACATTATTGGTGTGATCAAATTTTAAAAAAAATGCGCTTGTGGTACTTCCGGATCTTCGGGTTTTCTATGTAAAATAAAAAGAAACATTCTATTAATCGAAGAATATGGTAAATAATTCTTAGCAGAAAAATACGAACTTTGCCTCGCACGTTTTTTTTTAAAAAGGCGCCTCAAAGATACATGTAAAAAATTAAAAGAAATCGCCCGGATCTGCCGTGATACACAAGGCGAGTAAATACCTTGAATTTAATATTAATGTTTATCGATTGCATTTAATACTTGACTATGTTCAAGAAGTCAATATATATTTTTATTTATTTATTTATTCATTTTTTTACTTATTTATTTATTTATTTTGCTCTTTGAATTGGATCTTTTTTTGAGTGGTTATGGAACACTCCCCTTCTTCCCCGCTGACTATGCCTCAAGTGGGATTAAGACTTTCATAATTTATTACAAAGTTTTGTCTAATTTTGCCGATGTAGTTCTATATAAGATAAATTTTGTAACAATTAATACAAAGTCTAATAGCAATAATTTACAATTCTTCAGTCCGAAAATCCACTTTTCGTATTGTGGAAATTAATTTATAATCTTTTTTTTTCATGTGTATGTTCTAATATGTTGTATACAAGAGTATGTAATAATTCAATGCTATTATTTAATACAAAGTTTAAGTACCCAATAAATATATTCCCATACATTGTAAGCTTAGCATACACGCGTCTATATCAGATACAAATTCTGTTATTGTAAATGTTTATAACACAGGCATGCGTAGAAAGCAATTTCATTTCTTTGGGGGCGGGGGTCTAAAAAGAAATGTTTTGAAAAGCAAACAAAAGAGGCTGAAGACATTATTATTGTTGATGGGCAATATTATCATTATATTTCTACTGTATACTACACATGTTGGTACACTGTAACTTTTTTAGGTATACGACTACATGCTCCCTTCTTAATCTTACATGCCTATAGCATTAGAAATACCAGAGAATAAATACAAAAGAATGGAAATGCGGTATTTTTTTCGAATACTAGATGATGACAGATCTAGTGACGTTTATTAATTTTATGAATTCGATTTCTTTCGGCCGGTCTCCTTCCACATATATACATAATTTTATACAATGTATGTAGGAATACGTAAATACTTTCTATGTGCACGGGATATGTGTAACATATATATTTATATATAGGAGAGATTATTTAATCACAGTCCTGTGCTCAGTCTGTGTCAATGCAACTAGCAATTTCAGCAAGTCATGTGTTCAAAACGTAATAAAAATAAAATTAATTTATATAAAATATAAATTTAAACAAGTTCGTAAAAACTTTGAGGAGAAAGCATTAACATTAAATAATAATAATGATTTTTTTTCCGAACCCCCCCCCCCCCCCCCCCCCCCCTTAAAATTATGACAAGTAATTTTTTTTTGGAAGATTTGAATTATTAAATACAGATTATTAAAGACGATTTTGGATACATCACAAACTTCTAGCACAAGATATTGAATCTAAATATTTCACTTTTTACGTGGAGTTCTTCCGTAAAAATAATCAATGTTTGTCATGAATTTCATAAGGTTTTATTTGTTAAAATAATGAATATATTTATAGCGTTTCGTGAATCTATTGACATGGGTGTAAAACTTTGCTTGTCTACCGAATTTTTGAGCCACCTATAAATTAAAATCTCCGTAATTAAACGATTCAAAATTCAAATTTAACGATTTGATGGAATTTCGACATTTGTACAATTACACAAACAATCGCCTAATTTCCATCATAGACTGGAATTAATCTTAAATAATTACAGTTTGAATTTGATGACGATCAGTTTTATTGACGCACTGGATGAAAAGTACCGTTTCTGCATGGCTGAAACACTAATGAAACTCTGCGGAAACTTAAGCTTACTAATAGTTTCCGTCAAGTTTCCGCACTGAAACTTCAAGTTTCATCTAGTTTCCGCAGTGCGGAAACCAAAGGTGTCCACGAATCCAAATAGTTTCCGCGCCTGAAACAAAATGAATCTTCAAGTATACGCAAGGTTTCAGTATGCGTATAAGGTTGATATACATATGGTGTACCATGGGTTTCCGCAACAGAAACTTGATGAAACTTGAAGTATACGCAAGGTTTCAGCATACGTAAACAGTTGATATACATATGGTGTACGTAAGGTTTCCGCAACGTAAACTTGTAGTAGCTACTATATAATTCAGCCAGCTTTTCAATGAAAGTACTTATATATATATATATATATATATATATATATATATATATATATATATATATATATATATATATATTCCCCCTTATATTTGCAGTTGCATACAAAATAGATTTTGTTCCTCAACCAAAAGTTTTCCATCAATTTTCATTTTGCATCATTAAAAAAAACACAGTACTAGTGTTCTAAGAATATTTAATAATCAACATTCAAATTCATTAAGTATATACATCACAAAAATTTTAAAGGACATGAAAAGAACTAGTTGTTTGGGATTAAAGTTCAGTCCATTCAATTACATATGTTATATATATATACATATAATCATCTATAAAAATTAACAATTTTCCATAACTTGATTTCTTTCACACATGAAATGGAATTAAATTAACATAAATAAATTAATAAATAAATCACAATTGCATCAAAAGGAATCTGAAGCCTTTAAGGTTCCAAATGCTCACACGTTCAGCCCTGATAGGTGGAGGACACAGCCCAGCTAGGAATATCCTTGGGAGGAGATGTTCTCATTACTTGAGTAGAGCTCCTGTTGACGGAAGCCTTCTGTCTGCGTGACTGGGCTGTCAAGGCTTTACGGTAGTCTTTGTCCATTTCCCTCTTGATTTCCGTCATCTTGGACGACTCCCACTGAAATGGAATAGACACCCTCCTTGTTTCGTCCTCGTCATCTGTTACTTCCGGAGACATCGACTCGACCGTGAATGCCTTCCTGATTGACCTCTTCTCCTCCTTCGTGAAATATGTATCCCTTTCGACCTGGACCAGTCTGCTCTTCAACTTCTACAACCAAAGCATAAAGGTTAGTATTTGTCATATCATTAAAAGATACATGAAAAGGTACAGTCACATTCAAATATGTGGGACTCCAATTTATTCTTTTTACCTTTTGTTCTATTTTCATAACAAAATATATACTTGTGTACCATCTTCCTTATAAAAATTTAACTGCACATAGTTATATAATTAAAAATAAGCATTTGTGTTAAAAAAAAAAACAAGCTGTGTTTGTGAAACACTATGCACCCGGCGGCAACAAAGTTCGAAAAAGCTATTTTTAGCATATAGGTCACAGTCAAGGTCACAAGGTCATTGACCTTGGTGTCATTTGAAAGAACTTAATGAGTGGAGTACGCATACCAAATATGAAGTCTCTCTCTCTCATGGTTAAAAAGTTATGGTGAAGGTTAAAGTTGACAACAGACAGACAAACAGACAGACAGGACAAAAACAATATGCGCCCCTGATCTATCGATCCGGGCACATAAAAATAGCAATGCTAAAACTAGTTTACCATTAAGTCAATTACAATTACAGATGCATATAGTCAAGAGATTGCTTGAATGAGGATTATTAGGAACAAGATAAGCAGTGAAAAACATTTGCTAATTAGATAATTAGGTTATTTCAATAAAACATAGTCTTATGTTTATAGCATGATAGGGCCATCTTTAAAAAATTGTTTGGTTGCCCCCTCCCAACTGAACTAAAACTAAAACTGGCCCGAAAGTTTTAACCAGCCAAAACTTTTTTTTAGCCTTCAGGAAACAATTATTTTTTTTTTAAAACTTTTTTCTGGAAAACATATTTTGAAAATTCAGCATTGATGTTGATATTTTCCAGGGAAAAAAAATTCTCACCTACCTATCGAGCCCAATTTTTTATCCTGGGTTGGGGGAGGGCAAGCAAACATTATTTTAAAGTTGGCCTAGGCAAAGACTTTTTTAAAAGCAGGGGAAAATGGACAGCAAAGCAATTTATTAAGAAATAGAATACTTACATCTCTTTTGCGTTTGGCCTCTTTATTTTTGCGACGATGCTGCTCTATCTTCCCATCTCTTTTTCTTTTGAGGTCATCCCTCATGTTCCTCCAAACACGCTTCACTGCCTCTGTACAATAAAAAAGAAATAGAGTGCATAATGACCAAAACGTATGTAAAATACCTTTAAATTTTTTTTAATCAGCCAATTCCCTCAATATTTAAGTAACAGTGAGTTCGAGACTTTACACCTGTACACCTACTTTATACTTGTACTAATGCTTAGACATACAAGTTTTATAATAATAAATTTTTCTGTAGAGAATTTCTTTGCTAGACATTTTACACTTCTCTAATAAAATCCAGACAACTTAACTGTACTTCAGACATCTGAATGAAAAAAGCAACGCTGTACATCAAAGATCTGGCTTTTTATGGCAGTATGATCTACTTGCCAATACACATCCATTTTGAAAAATTTGAATCCCAAGTTTAGCTCTCCACAAGCCTAGTGCCAATTTTCGCTTTGGGAATGAATATAACTTAGTTTTGCATATATTTATAATTTAGTGTGCATTTTTTTTTAAATCACCCTTTATACAACTGCAGCTCCATCCTTCTCCAATAATTTGAACAAAGTTGAATCTGTACTACTTCAAAAAGCATGTATATTATTTTATATGACTATAATTATAATGGTCCTGTTATTGTGCTTTTCAAGATCTTTTTTTTTCTGTATACATTCCCATGTTAAAATAATTATCTTTCCCTATCAAGGCTACAAACTCCCCCCCCCCCCCCCCCAAAAAAAAAATTAAGGCAGGGATCATCAAATAACCTAATTTTCCAAACCGTATATGAGGACACCCACTTTTTCAATGGTTTTATACATAGTCAGCACATATTTATTGTTCTTAACAGTATAGCTGTATAGTAGCATTGGATTGTGTGTAACAATGATTTAATTTTTGCCAAGTCTAGATAATTAAGGTCATGTAAATTACCAAAATTAGGTGTTTTTCCCCAGAGAGTTCTCTCTCTCTCAATTCTCCTTTCCTACCTGGTGAAAAATTACCATATGCACTTAAAAATAGCAAACAATGATATTTCTGGTCGACAGGATTTTGACTTGGCAACCTGAACTTGTAGTATGTTTAATATTTTATATGATGATTTCAAGCCATTTGTTTTCAAACATAGTATGAAACACAATTGCACAACGAAGATCCCCATGTTTCAATACGGACAGTTTCCCATCAAAAAACAGAGATTAATCCCAGATTTGAAACTTAGATAAGCCTATATGGATAGTAAAATTTTTTTTAGTCTGGTTTAAACCCTGAACTGTGAATATTTAGAGATCTACCCTCTCATTACCTTTCAATTGTTATGATGCTATTAGTGTATGCCTGGCTCATCTTATATATAATGTACAACAGTGTTTTATAAATTTAAAATTCCTGTTGTGAAAAAAAAGTTACTAATAATGAATCCATTTATTGCATTCTCTTTGAAATTGCAACTGACAGTTTATTAAGAAAAATCTTCAGAACTATCAAGGAAACTAAATAGTAAATTAAATGTACACATTGAGAGACTAATTAGAATTGAATTAATTTTTCTTTTATCTCATGGCTTTGAACATACAAGAAAAATAGATTTATAAAATTGTTTCTCTTTCTAGTTAATTGACTCTTATTAAAACACCAGATAGGTAAAACTCAACATGTTTGAGACCAAAATCAAACAGTGTACTCATGCACTAAATGAGTGTAATTCAGAGTAATTAAACACATGTTATGACTATCACAAAGGTAAAGAATATTATGTCCTCCAAATTAAGGGATGGCTTTACCTTGATTAGATTAATTACACCAATTGTGACCCCCTCAAAAAGCAGACAAGATCAGATTGAGATATTGTTTTGACAAGAAGGAATAAGGGTTTCTATAATGGTTTGTAAAGTCTAAACTTCACTTGACACATGTTCTCCGACAGGAGGAGGTCGTTCAAACAGGTAAGTCTAATCTAGAAACATGTAGCTATTTGTTCATCTTTACTACACTTTAGAATCATTTTGATTGTTATATAAGTTTTAGTTATACAAAACTTACTCATGTGAAATGTCATGAATCATTAAGGGGATTTAAAAAATTGTTCCCCCAACTGGGTTGCACTTTTCACAGCTATGACAATTATACTCTTTTAATGAAGAAATGAAGGATAATCTATGAAATACATTATATTCTTTTTGTGTGTCAATCACTATTCTTGAATACAAACTATAATTATTCAGAATATTTTTAAGCAAATTTAGAACCTTTTAGTTCCAAAACTCCAATTTAAAAAATCCTATTATTAGGATTCAATTTAAAACTGGGCCCCCTGATAGCGCCACATCCTTGCTGGCAAGAAAAGAATGACCATGCTCACAGACAACTAAATTCCTGTACCTCAAAGCCTGTAAATCTGGGGACAATTATATTTCTATCAGTCCTGTCTAAGAAAAAACTAATCTTATTTGGAATATGTTGAGATAATCTCTACATTAAAACAGCAATGAAAAGCACCAAATCATTATTTGCTGTGGAATCTATGTAAATTAAAAAGATTAGCAAAATATAGGAGTTTCGAGTTAAACCGAAATTAAAATTGGAAGTTTGGGTTATAAAAATAAATACAAGGACAGGTTGTTACATTAGAGTTCAAAATTCAAATCACAATTGTGTTATCAAGAGGGATATTTTTTTCCATATCATTCACTTTCAAATTAGTATAAAATAACTAAAAGCCACTGACAATACCATTGCTGTACTGCACCAATCTAATTAAAATTAGATGTTGCAAATCCGCTACCACTTCTCAAACATCTAACAACATCCCATAAGGGGTCACGTCAGAGCGACCTTTCGATTACCCAATGAAATCGCCGTCTCTGAAATCTTGGCTTATAGTTCGGATGTGTTTCTTTTTTTTACTGCCACACCTAAACGCCCGAGGGGTTTCGTAGTAAACAAAATATGCATGGTAAAGACCGTGCTATATATAAATGTGACGTGCGGGATATATAGATGTATACATGTAGTTTGTGCATTTTCGTTTGTATTATTCAGGTGAGAATGCCAGATTGGCGGACTATACGTTCAATTTACACCAAAATTACTTTAATTCAACGTAAAACAACATACTGAGCATCAATAATGTAAAGATGTAGCCGTGGAACTAATTTTAGAATCGTATACAGAAGGTTAATCTGATTGGCCAAAAATTTTATGTTTATTCATAATCGAAAGGTCGCTCTGACGTGACCCCTAATGGGATGTTGTTAGATGTTTGAGAAGCGGTAGCGGATTCGTAACATCTAATTTTAATTAGATTGGTACTGCACGTGTGTACTTTTGTATTTTTGTATACTATATATTACTTGTTCAAGTTTTATTAATACAAGTACTAAATAATTAATGTACTAAATGATACAGTACTGTCTGAAAGACCGGTCAAATTAATGAACTTCATTGTGATTTTTTTAAATAGGGCTTTTGGACCAACTTAAAATTTGATATCTTGCATTATTAACAATAAAAAAAAAAACAAAAAAAAAACTGTGTGATACATGGTTATCCCTCTGAAATGTAATTCATGTCATTCGATGCACCTTAATTTTCATAAGAAATCCATCTGCAACAACTATCTCATTTTTCTTGTGTGATAAATAAACAAAGTATCTTTGTTCTGTAACACTGAATTAATTATAGATATAATTGATACCATTTTATTTGCAAGCTATTATTCGTTGTGAACATTTCCTAGGAAACTGTAGCTCTTTTCACAAAAAAGTTTTTGTAAAAGATTTTAACTTAAGAATCTCTTACGACAAATCTCAAGTGCTTTTCAAACATGCGGTCGTAGCAAATTGAACTTAAGATTTTACTTACGACAGATTTCGTCCCTAAAAAAGATTAGGGCTGTGTATTGAGCAATAAAATTTGATACAATACGATATGAAAGCAATTGACTGTGAAGCAAGGAAGTTTGAAATCCAACGTCACAATCACAAGTCTGACGTAAAAGTAGGCCGTACGACAATCTTAAGTGAAACTTGCATCGTAAATATTTTGTTGTGTATTTCATACAATATTTAGACAATAATTGTAAAAAAAAATATAAAATATTGATGCAAGTTGCATAAAAGTCCAATTTACCATATATTTTGGTTTTTAAAATAATATTTTTACAATAAAATCGATTTTAAAGTACTTCAGAGAGAGTGAAGGCTCTCGTAAAGGTACGACAGATTTTGCACTTAAGGCTTTCTTTTGAATTTTTGTGAAAAAGACTTTTATCGTAAGTTACTTAAAGTAAAAATGTGTCGTTAAGTTTTTTTTTGTGAAAAGATCTACTGTTATGTTCTGTAATTTTTCTTAATATGCTGATGCATAAAATGACACATTTGGTTGCCTAAATTCTGGTACCAATTTTGAATGGAAGTTGGCTAGATGATGTCCAAGCTGAAGAGCTCAACACCATAAAAGATATGTAATATTCAATTGTTAACAAAATGACAATCTATTCAAAATACATTTATCATTTAAATAAAAAAATTAAAATAAATGCATTTGTACTTGAATTAAAATAAATATTAAATTTAGGTACATGTACAATAAGAGGCCCATGGGCCAAATCGCTCACCTGAGGGGGGGGGTGCATTTTAAAGTACCTGAGATTGTTCCATATCAATATAAGAAATAAATGGCTTTGTAATTCCTACACAGAAAATTTTAAAAGATTTTCTGCAACATATTCCTTTGTAAAATTAGTGGCTCCTCCCTACCCCAAGGGTTTCTGATTTGAACAAACTTGAATCTACACTACCCGAGGATGCTTCCATATGAACATGACTAATCGTGGCATATCTGTTCTTGAGAAATTTTTTTTATGTATATTCCTATGTACAACTTTGATCCCCCAAAGTGTTGAGGATAAAAAATATACCTAATTTGTCAATCCAATTGGACATAATTACAGTTAGAGTGATTCAATAGAAAACTTACGATAAAAAATTTACTTGTATATTTAAATATTTACAAAATGTTGAATTGCATACATGTTAATTGAACAAAAAAGTCAA